ATTATCTGGACATTTATTTATTTATTTTTTCACATCGTTTACGGGAAACCTGAAGTTTATTTTTGTTTCCAACACTTATTCTTGCTCAGATAATAGACCTTTAGCTCACAATATTAAAATATTTGCTGCTTAAGCTATCGTTAATGCAATACCATAAAAAAATTTTGATAGTTTTGACACTAAGAGAATTTTCGAGGTTGTATCGATTGAACTACAAATTTTTTGAAATCATGGAAAATTTGTCTATATTCTATTGATTTCAGTAGTCCATACTTCCTAAACTGTATTTTTATGTGCCGTCATACCCGAATCTTTAAAGCGGTTTTTAGAATCGTAAGAAACTTTCTTCTTTTGATGCCACTTCTCAATGGTTGTCAGAACTTACACTCTCAATTCGGTTAGAAATAAGACTGTGTCTGAAAGTTGCGGTAATTCAGCGTTTATTTAGAAAATTGATGCTTATCAAGAAAGTCTATTAAAAACGCTTTACTTTTAACCTTTAATTGAAGTTTTCAATTTGTAAAGAATTAACTTATTTGTAAAAACTGCTTTAATCCACACGGTTCTATTTCCTCTCTACAAATTTCGTTCCGGTTGGTAATATAAAAAATCTATTTTTCTTGTTCTTACTAACTACTTTATCGCGCTTTTTTTTTTTTTAGATATAGGTGGCTATTGACTATTGGTATTTTGTTTATTAATTGTACTCCTGTCCTCAAATTTTTTTTCTTTGTTTTTTATTTATTTATTTATTTTTTAGCAAAAGATTTTCTCACAGACTGCTCTGCCTGCGTTTCTTTAAACTTAGCGATTCAAAAGTTTTATTTGTCTTCCAATTTGATTGAAACCGCGGTAAAGAAGCAATCCAACTACGTTTAACGTTAGAACACGATTGAATGTGTAACACTGAATAACAGATAACACTGGCAGACAAGAAAAGAGGGAAAGAGGGCAAAGACAAGCTACTAGTGGTTGCCCTGATCGTCGCGACTGTATACACCAAAACAACTGCTACGTGGTTCACTTCTGGCTGAAAATCATTACTGCTTTAGGTACAATGTTTACTTCCTTCTCTCCGTTATCGGCCTTATGCTTACTGAAGTTTACTGAAGTCCACTTCTTATAATTCTGTTACTCTACGTCTCCGTTTTATTATTTTCAAGGTACAACAGCCATAAGAATATAAATTGCTTGGCGCAATAGGTTTTAACTTACTTTTTGTTCCATTTTTTCTCCCGTTTCCACGATTCGTCACGTGAAAAAGCAGTCCCAGTTTGCTGTGCTGAAGTTATTAGGAAGTGGCAAAAGCTAAGGACGGAGTTAACTAGGAAGTTCCATTTTACTACGGTGTTTCTTAGACGAATCCTGACCCAAGAAAGGGCATTGCAGAACCGCGCCGCAATTTTTTTTTATCGATCTTTGACCGAAATTTAACGCCGCACTGGAGTTTTGCCAAGTGCTTTTGGTCTTCATTGTCTGTTTGTTGCAGTTGCTAATTGGACTTTCCCTGCTATGTGTTCTCGATTGTTTTGGCTGGCAAAAACTATTTTCTCAACAGCACTTCGGCTACGCAGCTAGTTACAGTTCCGTCACTACACTTACGTCGTTTTTCCTCGTTTATTTGGGTCTGGAAAGAAGTTGTAGTCTGGAATGGAACGCTTTTTTTACATGGTTTCTCTATTTTTGCAGTTCGACAGTTGATGACTTTAGGGTTTCATTGTTGGAGTAGAGAAGCATTTAGATTTGGTATAACAGATTTGGTTTTTTACTCTTATGCAGAATTTAGGCTATTTTTTTGACCAAAAGTATTGATCTAAAAGTTGCGAGGTTCTGCTTTTTTTTTCTTCGGTTATCTTTCCTGAGGCGGAAGCTTGCTGGCAATGTTTCAGGAGTGTAGGATTTTATTTTCCGCCTCATTTTTCTGAGGAAGATTGGACCACCGGATTTGCTCAGGCTTACAGATCTTTATAATAAGTTAATGTAATTTATTTAGGTCTTCACTGACATTTTATTAGACTCTTTCAGTCTAAATTTTTCTGCAGAGAGGCGTGAAATGTTTACTGGTCAGTGTTTCAACCATAAAAATGTCTTATTTTCTACTTTTCTGTGTGAGTTTTCCTTTTTTTTTTGTTTACTGCGGGGTTTTACTTCGCGCCTTTGTAGTTTTCTGAGTAAACCTTTATCGTATTTTTCGTTTTTTACAATTGAAAAGTGATTTTATGGGATAACATCTGAGACAACTTCATGTAATGTCAGATTCTCTGATGTAGATTATTCCAAAAGTGCACTTATGTGGTGTTTTTTCTTTCTTGTCGAAATCTTTTTCTTCACAGCAACTTTATTTAGATGCATTCATTGTCTCAACAATATGTCGCTCTGTTCCAAGTTCATTCAGTACTATGGAGAATGTCGAGGGGGGAGGGGGAGAAAAGAAGACAGTTTGATAGAGGGCAGTAAAAAACTTTTGCCATAATGGACTTTTGGATGAAAAAAGTAGGAAAATGATTAATACAGAGTGGTACTGAAGTTACAACATCTTGTTCAAGTATTTAGAACAAGTTTTAGCCCGAATAGCCGAAAATGAAAATCTGTATCTGAATCTGTAGCAGTGGTATTTTGCTCTAGTCGCATGATAGGGGCTGTGGTTCAGGCGCATTTCAATTTATTTGAAAATAATGTGATCTGTAACGCTTGAAAATTGATACAAATTTGTATTTTACTGTCCACATTAAATTTAGTTACAAGGGAGGCGTGGGGCACTGATTTTTGTGATGTTTTCAGTTATTCTTTTAGAAAGTTGACAACTTTATTTTGTCACGTTTTTTCTTGTCACGCGCTTCACATTACTGAATTTGATAATAAAACAACTGTGCTCTTTTGAGTTGGCGTATATGACTTAAAGCTCTCAATTAGCGTGAAGCAAACCTTTTTTTTTTTAAAGATTTTACTTGCTGGATAAGGAAAGAAGAAAAATTAATCGAAAAAATTTGTACTTTAGATACATATAGTTCATTTTCTGTTGATAAATGGATATTGATTTTATTAAATTTTGACTGCAGTTTTTTATTTTTCTTTAGTGATACATTTACACGAATTGAAAGTGAAATAGGTGCAGAAATCAGAAAGGAAGTTTTTTTTTTTTAAAATTAGATGATTGTTAATTGGCAATCGTCTTCTTGCTGTAAACTTCACTTTTTGCTTTTGAAATGGGTCCTAATATGCTCTAAGAATTTTTTTTTCGTGTGTTTTTTCTGTGGTATAGTAGTTGTGAGCTTCTGTTATTTTTAGAAGAAAAAATTAATAAGCACTGGAAAACTGTTGTAAAAATTGATGATTTTTTTCTTTTGACTTTGTTTGGAGGAACAAAGCTTTTAGTTAGTTATGGACAATTGTTAGCTGCAGAGTTGTTCTTCACTTGTTATTTAAAAGTTTAAAAAGGCAGAAATGGTGCATTCCAAATAAAGATGTTTCAACTACTGTTTGTTAAAACATTTGAAGTTTGTGGTGGATTTGCAGTGTGAAAATTGTGTATATTTAGTGATTATTTTCTGAATTGAGTTGGAAAAATTAAATTAAATCTAAGTTTGGTTTTCAACTTTTACATTTCTAAAATCATTTTACGAGAATTTAACTGTTTTCATATTTTTATTTTTTTTTCTCTGTGAACGGCGCAGCAGTTGCATTGATAGATATTAATAATCTTAGGGCATCATCTGTCACCTGCCATAGTTGATGGTTTGCCAGCTCAATTTATTATTTTCCACAGTTACGTCTTCAGGTAGTTTAGAGGTTTTTTAACCAAACATTTTTTACGTTGTAAACATTTAATTTTTAGGTTATTTTATTTTGGAATTTTTGCCTGACTGTTGCGTGTTTTTTTGCGAAATTTTCAACCCCTGCACTGGTTTTAGACGTAACTTTTTCCTACAGTACTATTACAAATGAAATATTTTTTGGTGGTGGGAAAATGACTTGGCTTTTTGTAGTGATTAATGCTTTTCTTTTGATGATACTCAAGTCGTGACGGTGGATAATGCAGTGTTATTTAGTGTGTTGGAGATCTTTACGCAAATTTTTTTTTTGATTGGACGTCAATAAAGTTCACAATTGTTGATTGCATTGATGTTGGGACAGGGAGAGTTTATTTTTTTGTTCAAATCATTATCAAAGGGAAATTGCAATAAACAAATAAATAAATAAATGACTCTTCCGTGAAATCTTTATATTACATTCTGCCTTATTTTAAGTTAATATTACTTTATCGACTATGTGACTTGGCTATTCTGGTGACTCATGGGCGCTTTGAGTGGTTGAGATTGATGCTGTATAAATGTTTATTTTTTAAATTTGAAGCAGCTTGTCTAATATCTTTCGAATTTTGCAATCTTTGCCGTATTACCTTCTGAACTAATTCAGTTATTCATTTTTATATTTTAACTGTTTCTGATTATGCATTTAGGTCCTTTTGCATGTCATCACAGTATTACAAATAGATAAAGTTTTATTTCATGCCATTTAGATGTGAAGCATTTGGAAATTCTAATTCATTGTTCAATTTTTATTTATTTGAGTATTTTCAGGGTTTATCTTGACAGCTTCGCGCATCACTGCCGTATTCACGTCTTACGGGTGATTGCAGCGGTGGCGATTCATTTTGGTGATTATTAACCGAGTAACATTTTGAACAATCAAATGGTGTCCAGTACCTATATTTCTCGACGTTCATCTGCTTGTAGCTGTCAGTTAATAGATTTTTGGAATATTCATTTACGTTTCCTTGTACCTCCGCCCTCCTATTTCTCCATACGTCAACAAATAGGTGATCCAATCTCAGAAAGGTTTCGGTGACTTTGGTTCAAACCCTCATCTTTTCTTATCAAGGATCTGTTACCCTTTCACTTGCCATATTCAGTCACAATCTCCCGCAATTGGTTTTGCAAGAGTTTGGCAGCGTTTATTTGCTGAATATTATTATAGTAATATTGGATACTACTTTTGAAATGGGAGAAATTACCTTTCCAGTTTCTCAAACTTTTTGTGATCGCCTATGCGACTTTTTCAAATGGATCGTTTGCTCAGATAATTCTGTCAGTAAAACAGCCATTGATTGTGTGGGGAATACTCCGAATGATTTTAACAAAAGTCCGTGTACTGGGGACCTACTTATTGATGATGGGTATCTGATATTGGCCTGTATCGCGAACAATCCGGTACTGAACAGTAAACTCTGCTGTTACGAACCACTTTTTTCGTCCAGCGTCAAAATACGTGTGTTTTCTGAAACAGTTTCGTCTTGGAGTTTGGCCCTGAAGCGACGACGCTTAGAGCGGAGTTGCCGAGAAGAACCGTTTGTGCGATACGATATGGCTTTTGTAAATAATGAACTTAAAAATATGTGGCAGAAACGATCGGATGAAGTCAAGCTTTTTGAGGAAGGGCAGTTTGTTGTTGATGATAAAGATGTTGATGGATGCTGTTTAACTCGGTCGCCGTCCCCGTGCCGGTCGAATAGCACCCTGTCATCAGCTTATTCATCTGAAGAGCTTTCGACCGTTTCGTCTGCTTCTCAGTACTCCTGCTTATTTACATCTGAAATGTCTTTGCAAGAGGAAGCTGTTAATGTCGAAGCATTCTCTGATATGCAATTAGCTGCATTGCCAGAAACGCCTGCATGCAACTTGGAGGAAGCGGATTACAATCCTAACTTCGGTGGCAAGTTGCCGTCATCAAATGACGTAGACAAAGAGCAATTGTATCTTGAAGATGCTCGTGTTCGTGGTCATATTGAACGAGCTTTTAAATATTGTAAGCTGTTTGAAATCTTAGAGCAGCCTTGTAATCGGTTCCGAATTTCACCGTCATCTTGCGGTTTGGGCTTACCCTTAGCACATCTTGACCGATGCTGGCCGTCGGTTAGTGCAGTAGGTTTAGCGGGTTATGATGATCAGAAAGAGTTCAAGCGCCGTTTATCGTCTTCTAACAGCAAGAAACAGCGGCGAGGTAAATTTTTCATTATTTTTCACTGTATAAAGTGTTTTTCCGTGAGAAATTGCAGGTTATTTACAAAATATTTCATTTTGCTCAAAGCTGTTTTTGAAGAAATAATTTTCTGAACCGGTAAGTTGGTTGGTCTACTACAGCTTGTTAGATTATCTTACATTTTTTTAATTTCAGATTGTATAGATGACCAAACAGGCTGCGCATATATGAAACTTAGCGAGCCCCTAAGTAAGTTTCTCATTTACAGGAAGGGAACAAGGGGGAGGAGAGTGACAGATTTTTAATGCCGGTTGGAATTTAGTGCTCTATTAGACGAAAAGAAAGTTAAACCTGTATTTCACGGTACCATATGTACTGTAACATTTTATTTATGTGATTTTTATGCCATTGTGTTTCAGAAGAGATGACGCTGCGTTATGTTCCAACTTCCAATTCTTTTGACCGGGAGAACTTTTCTGTATCTGAAATGGATGTATTAAGTGAAGAAATCTGGGACTACCACATGTCTGTTACTCAGACGGAGGAAATTTTAAATCTGAAAATGCAGCTTCGAGATGTGCTTTATTGTGCTTTATCTCAGTTGTTTCCTAGTAATTCTTTTTTTTTTTTTGGTCAATTAAGGAGTTGAGAATGGAGGGCGTTATAAGTTTATAACTTGCTTTGCTTTAATAATGCTTCTGTAATTGTTCAATACTTTTGATTATACAAAATTCCTGCATTTCAGTGTGTGGTTTATACATCGTTGGGTCTTCTTTGAATGGGTTTGGGACAAATTCTTCAGACATGGATTTATGTCTTATGATCTCTTGCAAGGAAGTAAGTTTTTTTTTTTGAATTTTTCGCAGTGCTGTTTTTTATTGTAGAATTGCACCTCTACACTTATAATATGTTGTTTATGCAAAAACCGTTATGAGTGTTTTGTACATATTAATTAGTAGTAAATGCAAATGATGTAGAAGAACTTGTTAATTATTGCTGTTTTTAAAGTTTCAATTTTTATATTTTCTTTTATCGTTTTTTTTTTTGTTTGATGATTATGGAATTTTACCAGGAAGTTTTATTGGTTAACTTTATGAAGTAAGAAACCTAAATTTCAGCTCACTACATGTTTTGAATTTCGTTTGGGTTTTCTGTGCCACATGTGAATTTTTTGCCGGCTTCGGCAAAACGTGAAAATTTTCAATTGTGTAAAATGCAGATAAACCAGCGAACTGATGCAGTTGTCGTTTTGGATTTGGTGCGTAATCTGTTCCAAAATATAAACTTTATTCGTGAACAGAAGCTCATTATTGCAAAAGTTCCTATTTTACGGTTGCATTTCTACGAACCTTATGGGAATATCGTTGTGGATTTGAACGCTAACAATTCTGTAGCAATACGTAATACCCAGCTGTTGTGCTATTATTCTTATTGTGAGTCACGTTTTTTGTCAAAGAACTCCAGTAAATTCAATGTTATAATTTTTCGCGGTTTTATCGGATAAAAGTTAAACTGCAGTAATCATTGGAATTTCAGATGACTGGCGTGTACGTCCATTAGTTAGCGTTGTTAAAGAATGGGCAAAGCGGAGAGATATAAATGATGCTAATCGGTCTTCGTTTACCTCCTATTCGCTTGTTCTAATGGTTATTCACTACTTGCAGTGTATGTTTCTCTCGTTCTAATCAATACTTTATTTCAAAAAGCTAAAATTTCCTTTTGAAGCACTCTAAAGTGTTTTAAAAAGCGATCTGGATTTGTTACTGGGGAACAGTTACTGTTACGGCTATTTATGCCGGGATCCACTGCTTGTTTTTTTTTTTTTCTATTACAAATAGAGTATATAAAGTCTTTCATACGGTGGAATTGAGAAAAAATTCAGAAATTTTTCGAATGCAGTTTTTGTAATTGAATTTTGTTTAATTTTCTTATTATCTGTAATATTTTGGAGATCTTTGTGAGCTTGAAAAATAGTCAAGTAAGAGTAGTTTTATTTGTTTAGTTTTGTGACGAGGTGGGAATGCAAAAAGAGCCTTGTCTGTATAAATTGTATTTTCATCTTCTTATGGTTGTCATTCATTTAATTATCAGCTTGATACTTGCTGCTATCGAAACTTCAATAAGAAATAATTTTTACATTACTGGAAAGTTTCTTTGCAGGTGAGGCAAAAGTGCTTCCTTCTCTTCAAGAAAAGTATCCGAAGGTGTTCAATCAAAGAATAGATGTACGCACTCTTTCAGTTTCTTTGCCACTGGAACCACAAGGATTTTGTCAGAAAACGTTTGACAGTCGTGACAGACCAACCTTAGGGGAACTTCTTCTAGGATTTTTCGAATACTTTGCTATTAAATTTGAGTGAGTTTTATTTTGGTTGGAATATCCAAACAAACTTTTCAAAACTTTTTGAAAATTTCTGTTCTTAAGACCAATATACTTAACGATACAGCAGTTTTGCTTTTTAATTTTACTTATTTATTTTATCCGTTTCGTTGCTGACGGCTTCCTTTGGTACTGAAATTTCTCTAAAAATTGTGTTCGTTTTTTATTTGATTTTTATCGCAACGAGTGATTGTTTTGCATCGTTCCTTGCCTTCTACCAGAGCACTTATTCATTTATTGAGGACAATCCTCTGGAGTAATTCAGGGTGATTAGTTACCTGCAAGTTATTAGTATCCACTTAGGTTTGCTCTCCTGGACTATGAAATTTGCCGATTTTTCTATTTCCTTTTAAATCGTCATTGAATCCTTTTTTTTTCCTTTTTTTTGAGCTGTTTTTGTTTTGCATAAACTGTGTATCTTCTTTTTATTGCCTTCAGATGCTGTCCGTAGTTTTTTTTTACATTTTTTACATAGCTGATATTCGATGGGGTTCAATGCTGTTGGATTACTCTCACTGCTTTTGTTTTCAAATCAGGCATTTTACGTGTGCTGATGCACCTTGTTGATCAGGAAATTATTTGGTACAATCCACCTACAAACAAATCATTCATTCAAGTAGGGAAACTTATCTAGCAAAGCTTTATAGAGTTTGAACAATGTAATCAAAGAATTAGCAAGGGGATTTCTTGTAATTGAGGCACAGAAATAGTGCTTTCAGAAGGTGTACTGGACAAAGGTATTACACCAATAAGGATTATTGTATAGCACTGTTTAAAAAAAGGCTTCGACTATAGTTAGAGGAAGAGGTGCTAACAATGGTAACGGTAATAATAACAACAACAGCAGCAGTAGCAAAAACAGTAAGAATAAAAATAATAATAGTAAATGCAGCGCAAGCCAGGCGATTGACGTCTGAAATTTCTTGTGTTGTTTTACCTGATACGTACATACGCTCATCCTTGTTATATGTCTTCAGTTTACCGTTGTCCGAAATTTCAGTTCGTTAGGATGATATAGAGATTTAGTTTTTTTACTAATCAGATCTGGTATTTGGCGTATTACTATCTTGAAATTGTGTGTAACTTGTGATACAGTTTAGAACTATATAAGCTGTAGAGGTCTTGTGACTGTGAATTTAATGCGTATCAAGCGACATATACTGATTGGAGTCAAGAGCATTATTGGCGTCATTTATTATTTGGTCATGCTCTAGATGCCAGAAACGGAAAATGTGTTTGATGAGTTTAGGTGATTTGACAAGCCTGTTGTTGTGAAGGTTTCCTACTAACGATTTACGCGCTCATGTGTCAGTTGTTGCTTTTTAGTTCTGGGGCTCTTTCTTTTTTATTTTTTTTTAATTTTTTTTAGTAAATTTTTTTTTAGTAAATTTTTTTAGGTTAGATGAGGTTTGTGGATATACTAACTTTGAGTAAATTGGATTCTTAAATAAAGCTGGGCTTGACAGTTTAATTTTTTAGGTAGACGGAGTAAAGGTTACTTGTTAGTATCTTATTAATTTGTGGTTTGATTTTTTACTGGGCAGCTGTTTTTTTTCTCACAGCATAAGTTGTAGTAGCATAAATTTGACTGCAAAGAAATTTTATTTTTGAAATTAGGTTAAATTATTTATAATTGCCTGACTTTTTTATGAGTTTACAAATGTCGCGGTTTTGTTTTTTTTTTGTTTTCTTTTTTTTTGTCAAACTGCGAAGAAAAGGACTGGGTAATGTTTAGGAAATAGCTAGAGTTTGGTTCGGATAGGGATTTTTAAACAATTATTTTAATTTTTGGTTTTATTAAATTTGATTTTCAATTTAATCGTTTGAAATGATGGCAGTAACATAGAGTTTTAATCGTATGTATTGAGATTTCTGTTTAAAATATGCGGTTAGATGTTTTTTTCGTATTAGATCATAGCTCCTTGTGCACTATAGTTTGGAGTTTGGATTATTTGACCATTGTGAGAACAAGCGCTCTAATTTTGGAATCTCATTTTATCTTAGTTTTGGCAACTTTTTGGTTATATTTAGAGTTTACTTTGAATCTTTTTATTTTTTCTTATTTTATTCTTTTATTCTTTTGAAGGTACACCTACGGATGCCAGTTTGTTGAGAGGTACTGTTAATGTACAAAATATTTCTTATTTTAGTTACGAGAAGGACGCTATTTCTATTCGTTTAGGAAGGAAAACGGAAAGGCGACTTGTGGCCAATCAGCTGCATAACTATAACGGAAGGTTATCACAGTGGAACTGTATTTGCATCGAAGGTATTTTAATTTTCATGTAGTCGCTGTGTAAAAAGCTACATCTTGATTTTATTTTCTAAATTGTTTTTTATTTCCTCCTCTTATAAACTGAAAGGCTAAGGGTTAAGCAACAGTCACATTACAGAACCGTTCAATTATTCTAACACGGCCCATTCAGTGCATGACCAGAATCTTTTTGACCAGATTAAATACGCTTTCTTAGAGGATTATGAGAATTTAGAACGGACACGGGATCTTCATGCGTTTCTTGATGTCAATCCTCTAAACAGTTCTTTTTGTTTGTTGGAAAGGTATACCATACAACTTTCAAGTTGTTTTCTTCTACCAACATAAACTTGTTTGAGTAGAGGTTGTATTTATAGCATGGGAAGCAGCAGTTCTTCAGAAATGTTGTCTGGTTCTACAGTTGGTTTACCCACGGGAGGTACGTCAAGCACCAGTGAAAGTTGTCAGGTATTTTTTTCAGTTTATAACTAAATGTTAATAATGCAAGTTTTTAAATCACACCTATCTATAGCCAGCACAATATGATTTCATTGTCTTTACTCTAAATTAGATTTCATGCAAGTTTGAAATTCGAAAGATTTCAGGGTCTTTCTGGCGACGACTGTAAATCTGATGATTCTTGTGCGCTTATTGCCGAAAATGTTTCTCATCAGTGGGATCCCACTCGCTCTAGGTTAAGGGGTGTCTCGTAGTGCATTTGATGTTTCCATGAAATATTCGCGAAATCTGAAGTAAGCGCTGAAAATGTTTGTCTTTACTTGGTTCATCTTCGCGTCAGTTTCAGCGCAAAACCTGCTCGGCTTTTTCCGTGGCCATCTCTGCATTGACTTTTATTTTTTTGGTATATTCGCTATCTCGTTGGTTTAGGATGCAGAATCCAAAATGTTTGGTATCTGCTTTATTGGTCTATTTGTTTGGTTAGAGTGCAAACACATTTGTGTACCCAAATAAAATTAGATGATGTTGAAATGCGGAGATGCGCCCCTCGTTCTTGATCGCCTACTGAAAAGGTCATGTATTTGACGTGTAAGGAGAGTTGAGCGTTTTATTCTTTCTTAACTCTTACCTTTAATTTACATATTTATTATAGTATTAATGATTCTGTCTATTTTTGAAAGAGGTAGGAAGGGCTTGAGGTGAGTTCCCCTTCATTCTGGCTTAGTTATTTCTTTGAATGCATAAAAGGATCTGTGGCTGCGTAGTTGTAAACAGGGTTACCGTGTATGTCTATTATTCTCGAAGGGCCGGAATTTTTTTAATATAACCATTTTTATGCAGAAATAGTACTATAATGGTTCGAGGTCTTAGTCTATTTTACTGTTGTTTGACTTCACTTTCTGAAGCATCTATTTAATCGACGGTTGTTAATTGGTGTAAATTTGTTTTACTGTTCTACAGATAAGGTTGAAGTTTTTCCGACATTTTTTTGTTTTGTTTTTGTGTTCTCTTTTTGTTGTTTGTTCATTGTTCAATCTTAATTGGTTTTTTTTTTTTGTTGCTTCTGTTTTGTCTGTATAAAGTTATAGCTGAGTTTTGTAATTTTAAGGAAAAATATGGTTATCGGTTACCTTTTTTTAGTAGTGTTTGGTTTAGGACTATCTTTTAAAATTCTTCTCTCCTGTAGTTTGTTTCTTTTTAACAGCTTTGACGGGTTGTTGGTTGTTACAATTGTTAAAATTTTTAAATTTTGTTTGATTGTAATACATCTCAAGCCCCTTTGTTGCTGGGGCGAGTTTATGACCTTTACAGTTATGACAGAGCATTGGAAACGTGTTAAACTGTATACAGAGGCCAAGCACGGTAATGATGCATTTAATGAGCAGAATGGGTTGTAACTTTGACAAGTTGAGTACTTTTTGCTATTTTGAGTGTTGTTTAGCCTCTCGCGACGGTTATACGCGGCGCTCAAAGCAGGGCCTTGACGTGTTTTACTTTAAAAGGAGGAGTGTTCCTGATGTTGTGTGTTTCAAGACTGCTTTCGGGGCATAGTAGAGGGTGCTGTGGCGTGAAAGTTGCTCGGTGGCTCAGTTATCCTCTCTCGCTACATATAACACTGATGCGGTTTCCTTTTTTATTTGAGAGAATACATGAGGGTCTCACGACAGTCATCAGAGCGGAGGGAGTCGGGAACAGGTGGTGGTTTTCCAAAAGTTCATATTTTACGAGAGGTGTGCTTCTACCAATACTGGTTTGCGTGGCTTTGCCGCTTGACTATGGAGAGTAGGTGGTAAGAAACGAGTCTAGCGGGAGCGTACTTGCATGTACTTTTAATACATCAGATGCTGATACAATAATGGGGATCGGATGATTGGGATTGAGGGATTTTTAAAAGCTTTATACTAAGAGAAAATAAATTGCATGCTATCGTTATTGATTCGTTGGTATACATTGGTAAGAAAGAGCTAAGTTTAATGAAGTGATGTTAGGGGAGCAAATTTCCGGTGGATTTACATGGATTTGTAGTTGGGGTCTTTTGCAGTTTCGGTTGTGCAACTGGACTTAGGCGCTGTCTTCCTGTGTACTGTATAAGTTATTTTGAATGGAGAGGTGCCTTTACACGAAAGTACTTGATCAAACAGACAAGTCATACTAAGTAGTCGCCGAACAAGTCATCTTCACTTTCTTCAACTTGTTGAAGAACGGAGGAGCCTTGTCCTCCGAACAGTAAGTCGTGACGCCGCACTCTCGTTTTCATATTTTTTAGCCTGCAGATGGGTTTTAATAAGAGTTGTAATACAGGAAACTGTCTGAATTGAAACTTTATATAAAATACCTGTAGAATTTAGCAAAAATCCATATTCCGATAATCAAAGCAGTAAATCCTATAACAATGACGCATCTGAAAATTAAGCAAAAGATGATCTTGTTTGCAAGTTCTCTGGCACCATCACCCTATCACTGTAAGTAGTTGTCGACATCTAGTAGAATAATGGAAGAATTTTCAAAGTAGAACTGGCCTGATTGGAGCGTTCTCATCCATATCGTATGTTGTATCCTTGTGCATGGTCGGTTCCATGACTAACAGTTCCGGAGCGCTTTTGACGGTTAATGAAACCATCAATAAAAACCCTCCGGTTTATTGAGCAACTTTTCCCAATTACAAATTTCTCCCATGGTTAGACAACCATCTTCTAGGTGGCGTAGAACCTGGAACAAAAGCATCGATACTCAGAGTAAAAAATTGTTTTGGCTGCGAAAAATTATATATTTGGCTTCACTGATGGTGGTTATTGTTTTTGAGTAAATTATATCAAGCAGTAATGCAAGCTGTTACAAGCCAAAGTTAGGGTCCAACTTACTCAGCAGTTATTTAGAAAATAAACGGTGCTACCGCAGAAAAAAAAACTGAAATAATTTTTGTAGGGTTAGCTACGTTGTTGCCGCGCTACAACAATTTTTCAAAATATTTTCCAACCGGTTTTTTTTTTTTTTTTTTTTTTTTT